TTGATGTAGAAATGATTTTTAAGTGATTTTTAACTAGAAATCACTATAGAAATCACTTAAAAATCATTTCTACATCAAGAATTTATCACAAAATCATCATAAAAAGTGTATCGAATGACGTCATAATGATTTTTATGATTTTGTGTTCTACCTGGGATAACCACAGTATAACCAGTAGTTGCACTCTCTGTCGGCGTCTTTGATCTGGCCGTTCTCAATTTTCCGCCATGTTTTTATTCGCGCCAACAGTGTATCAACGGTTAAAAGTGCCTGGGCCCTTTTCAGGATCGTATCCAGGAAAGGCGCGTACGAACTGGCGTACATTATTTATTGTAAATGGAAATGGCCTATGAAAAAAAATGTTATAATAAAAGTAATTAATGTAATTACTTGCTCCAACGTATAAAAGTATTTACATTATTCGTCAACACTGCGAATTTTTCAATGTCACACTGACTATGCACTAACACACGTACAAAAATCCTGTGATTGGTCAGAATAAAAACATGTCGGATGCGCAGTACGGATCGGCGCGAACGTGAAACAAAAGAGCGAGTGCCACTACTGGTTATACTGTGGTATAACTAGTAGGGTCACTCATTCTTTTATTTCACGTTTGCGCCAATCCGTTAAACCTATATTCCTTGTGACAATTAAAAAGATTTTCAAATATGTTGAAGTTTAGTCCTTTTAAACAACTTGGAGCTACATGGAACGTCAAAAGAGTCTTGTATCCATAAATATGAATCTTTTTCTTCTTCTGCAGTTCCTGCATTAAAAAATGCGGAAAGCGTCCCCTTCCTCTCTAACTCTCACGGATTTTTGCGTTAAAAGACGCAAGATTGCCCTCTTTCTACAGATTCTCACAAGCGTGCTTTTTTTCCATATTTAGTGATATCATACCCATGTACTGTAGGATTTGCTTGTCTGTTGTCTTCTAGCCAACAAACTAAATAGAATTTACCTTATCTATATCTTAGCGCAAAAATTAATTCGCCTGCAATCTGTATTCTGTGCTTTAGAAAAAGATAAAAACATTTTTAACATAGGTATGGGATACTATGGGTCATCAACTATATAGCAGTAATGTCGGAGATCATCCTGTGACGGCAATTAGCTGGTGTTCTTCTGGCAATTATTTTGCTGTTGGGTCTTTCAATACAATCAAGCTTTGTGATAAAAATGGGGTAAGATTACTTTTATATTACACATATACATACATATGTATAGATAAGAGTGAAAGCACCTTACTATTTATATCTAATTGTGTAGAAGACCGAGAAATTTATTTTTATGTATTGTTTATGTTCTCTTTGAAGTTTATTGAACAATGTACTAATACTAACGTTTTAATAACAATTAATATTTAACTCGGTCCTTTTTCAGATATAAATCTAATTGAAACTTAAACGCCTTTTTTTATAGGATCTTGGTAAGGTGGTCCTATAAAAAAAGGCATTTAAATTTTTATTTGATTTTTATCTGAAAAAGGACCGAGTTAAATATTAATTGTTATTTATACACATGCGGCCGAGAGAGCGTTTCAAAGTAATATACATGTTATTGCGAATAGTATTATCACAGCCTCAGTGGTCGAGCTGGCTAAGACGCCCGTCACGGATTGAGGAAGGTCCCAGGTTCGAATCCTGGCTGAGGTAATATTTTTCGCAATAAGAATTTTAATTCAATAGGGAAAGGGGTAAATTTATAATACTAAGTATAGCATTAAAATTAAATTAAATTAATTTGCAAAAATCGCTCTGCGATTTTTAGAACACGTGAATTCACTGACGATAATGATCCCACCTAGGGGAAAATCTGTGTTATATGTCCGATAGTAACGGCGCGCAGTACAGGGTAGGAAAATACGGTATATGGATTCACTTACAAGGGAACGGTCGGAAGTGTCCCTCACCGATTTCAATGCGCTTCGGATATGTTGTAGAGCGTAAAAAAGTATTAGACCCGTATTTTGCTTCCTCATAGAGGAAGCTTTGTTTTCGTGAAAAATTTTTTTTTCCAGTTTTCTTTGGCAATATGTTTAAAATCTTTTAAAACGTCTAAAAATCATATTTTTACAAAATGTCTGTGTGTGTGTGTGTGTGTGCGTGCGTGCGTGCGTGCGTGCGTGCGTGCGTGCGTGCGTGCGTGCGTGCGTGCGTGCGTGTGTGTACGCATTTGAATGTCCGTGGTTGCTCTCTTCCGTAAATTTTGAGATATCGGGCTTATTTTTTTTAAATGTCGAGAATTACTAAAGGAAGGTTGGTATTGATTTTTGCGATGATCGGTAAATGGGTTTCTTTTTGAAAAAATTTTGAATTTTTTGAGAAATGTCTGTGGTTGCTCTAACTTTTGCAAATTTAGAGATATCGGGCTATTTCTAATTCTATTCTTCTTTCCAGTCTTTTCTACCCCTATTTCATATATAATTGATTATTCGGTTGATTAGTTCTTGAGTTATAGATGTTTGAAATTTCGCGGAATCCGTACATGAACACTTTTTCATTATACTGGGTGTTTCAAAAGTGATGGTACAAAATGTAATGGTGAAATGTATACATTAGTATAAGCAAAAAGTCCTAATAAACATAGGTAGAGGCCCCTCTTTTTCATTATACAGGGTGTTTCAGAAGTGATGGTACATAATGTAATAAAGAAATGTACACACTTGTAGAAGCAAAAAGATTCAGTACACATAGGTGGAGGCATACCTCTTGAATATGGCGATGACCGGTAAAAGGTTTTTTAATTTTTAATTTTTTTTTGGTAATTATGCATAAAAGGGGCC